GCAATCGTGTTTTGAAGTGGGATACAGGATGTTTTCACACTATTTTTGTTTATAAATATATTAAAATAATATTTTTTTATTTTTAAAAAATTATTTTTAATATCAGAAAATTAAAATAAAAAAAATTAAAATTAATTTTTTTAAGAAATACCATTTAAAATACAATCTCAGATAAGTATTGTTACACCTATGATGATCGTGCTATGAATTGTGATTTTTAGAATTTAGATTAATTATTTCTCCAGAAAATAAAAGTGTAGAATTTAGAGAAACTCGTGATTTCCATTTTTCACAATATATAAATATAAATCAAATTAAACGCTGTTTGGAGTCCAAATTCAATGCACATCCAGGTGTTGTTTTTAGGACCGGCATGAGAACAAGGTTAAAATTAATGGCAGGAATTGCCATTTTGTAGAGGTCACGCGCCTCTAGGATTTTTTATTTCTTGTATTTTCTAAAGCTAAGGATGATGCATTATGTTGTTGTTATTAATTTTAAAAAAAAAAAACTGGGAGGCTGCCGATGTTTGAGCCTCCTACGAGTTTTTAACTTTTCAAACATTTGTATTTTAATTGCAACTTTTTTATAGGTTAATTGTATAAGATTAGATTTCAAATTATAATGTGAATATAAAATTAAAAGATATAAAATATATTAAAAATTACTCTTAAATTTATGATGTTTTTTTATTTTTTTATTTTTTATTTTTATTTTTTATTCTCATGGTTAGAGAAATGAAAAACAAGGTTATTAAAAAAAAAGAAAAAAAAATAATTAGTCGACCGAATTCCAACAACAACAAAAATCAAGTTTAGTGTCAATAAATTTTATTTTGCTAAAAAAGTTTGATGGTAATAATTTTTTTCTATAAATATGTTTAAAAAAAGATCAAATTCTATTTATGCTTTTTAAATTCAGTTAATCTTATTTTAACTTAGTTTTTTTAAAAAAAAAAACCTTTAATTTTAGGTTTTTTATTTATATTTTTATATATATATTCAAAGAAAATTTAGTTCAGCCTATAAAACAGCCGATGCTTACCTTCTCTGCTATACATCATATAGTAAGAACTTCTGAGCGTACCTTGGCATTAATTTTTTCAAGTTGCAGCAGAAAGTTTTGTCGTCAAATATATTTTTTTAATTAAAATAAAAGAAGGTCTTGAATTTAATTAGTAGCGTTTTGTCCCCACCGATGGATAGCTTGAAACTTTTACAATTTTGCGAGAGCCGTACGGAGTGAGAAAACAGAAAAGTCTCGGCGGAAGACAAAAAAAAACAGGAGGAGACACCTAGAAAGACAGCACTGATGGAATCGTTTTTATTGTTTGGCAACAAGACGACGCCGTGTTCCAGCCAGCCATCGCTGCGCCTCGTGTATCGCACAGCACGTGCATTTCGTCCATGTCAGGGGAGATAGACTGAAAGCGGATGTTTTTTTAAAAAAAAAAATTAGCACTTTTTCTTTAATTAGTAAAATAAGAGAAGAGAGAGAAAATCAGAGAGACGATACAATTGATATCATCAATCAATCCATCGGCGCTGAAAAAGCCATCAATCGTGATTGGAATATTCCGTCTAAAGATGACAGACGGCTCCCTTTGGTCTTGGACAATAAGTTTGGCTCGCTTTATTTTCATTTTCCTATGTTATTAGATTTATTAATTTTTTAAAATTATGTTGATTTATCATCTTTTAAAAAAAGTATTTTACTAATAAGAAAAAATACTTCAGCATGCACTATGATCACCTGATCCTAAATCTACACCAATATAATTAAGAAAGTGTCTGGTGATGTATATTTTTGAAGTTTTTTTAAAAAATTATGTTTTTATTTAAAATAATTTTTATATTTTTATATTATTTTAATGTGTAAATATCAAAAACAATTTTAAAAAAATAAAAAATATATTTTAATATATTTTTAATTAAAAAATATTTTGAATAATTACTATTATTATATTCTTAAATATGCTTATATTAAAATTATGATTAGACTTGCAAAAAACTACTTAAAAAAAATTGTTTGGAATGACCGTGCAAATCGTATTCTAAAAAAATTTAATTTTTATATTTTTATATTATTTTAATATGTTAATTTTAAAAATAATTTTTTAAAAATAAAAAATTATTTAAAAAAATAACTAAAACCATATTATTTTAAAAGCAAAAGCAGGCTTTTGCTAGGCTTTGGCCCGGTTACTTTATTACAGGACGACAACATATCAAGGTTTTGGTCCCGCATATCGATGGTCAACCGAACCCAAACCAAGTCGTCAGAAGCTCATAGAAGTTGCACGCTACGAGAAGGCATAAAGTGTTGAAATTAAAATTCTAAACCCCATCAGTATTTTATTGTAGGGCCAGATTTATTGCACATTGAATTGCTACGGTGCAATGATATATTTGCTTTTTATGAAAAAAACTAAATGACCTGTCTTTGGGAATAAAAAGATCTTTTTCAAGGAATTTATTTATTATTATAAAATTAATCGAGGTTATAATAGTATATTAACTTTTTTTGCTTATTTAAAATGATATAGATACTTTTTAAAAGAAAAAAATAAAATAACAAGTTAAGAGGGGCTTTCCATTTTCTCTTTTAAAAATAGTAAACATACTTCATTATCTTTTACATTAGAAAAATTAAAGAAGACAACAACAAGTATTTTAGGCGACGTGTCTGGTGAGTTACAGCAGCCAAAAACACCATATCTTCTAAAGACGGCGCATTAATGAGAAGGCACGTGTAATTAAATTCATGGCGGTGGAATATATTTCTCCCATCTCTTTTCTCTGTTCTTACTTTAAAACCCACACTCGATTAGCTAAAATTCACAGCTATATTTTCATTTTTTTTCTTTTAATTGTGGTCCTTGTTCGTGTAGTTGCAATTTTTTATATTTTTATATTTTAAAATTTTATATTTTATTATTTTATTTTATTAATTGTTATATTGAATATAATTCTCATTATTTTAATTACTATTTATTTAAAAAAAATTATAATTAAGAATTATATTCATTGTTTTCTAGTTATTTTCGTCTTATAGGAATTATTCTAGTCTCATAATCTTAGTTATTGATATTGAATATTATTCTGATTTATTTTAGGTTTTTTTAATTATATTTTTAAATTTTTTTGCTTTCTCTTCTCTAAAAATAACTCACATGACGAGTTAGTTAAGCTAGCTAAGATTGACTTATAATTTTATAAATATTTTTTTAAATTTTATCATTTAAAATAAGGCTGTAAGGATCTAAGCTTTTTTATTTTGTTTTTTTTCCTATAAAATTATCATAAGTTACAGGTTAGTTAAGTTAGCAAAGATTAGATTAAATTTTTTTTCAATGTTTTTTAATTTATTTAACTTTGATCTTTTTTTTTCTAAATCTTTTTTTAATATTTTTTTTCTCAATATCATGTTACGGTGTTGGATTGGTAGAGTGAATTCAGGTTAATTTGGTTTTTTTTATATATTTTTTATTTTAAAATTTTATTATTTGATATTTGGTTATTGAATCTTGAGATTTATGTTTTTTTTCTTTTCGCTGCAGGGGTATCCTAGTATCATATTCTACGTCACATATTTGTTAAGCTAATTTAGATTATCATAGTCTAAACATTTATTTTTATGTTAGAAAAATTTGACTTAACCTATAGTTAGAAGTAGCCAAAAAAAAAAAAATCTTGTATTTTCCTAATTAGTGATAAGTTCTTATTCGTCGTGTTTTCTTGATTAGCATAGAATTTATGCTCAAATTATTCAAAAGGAATTTGTGTTGTTCAAGTTCCAAGCAAATATATTATTTAAACAATTTGTTTTATAATTTCATAATTCATTTCCAAAGTAATAATGTTGTTTATTGCCAGAATATTGTCTTAGAAAAGCAAATAATAAATATAAAAATAAGAATAAAATTAATATAAAAATCAAATTAAATCAATTTTTAAGGGATAAAATTTAAAAAAATTCAAACAAAATATATATCAATAAAAAATTTAAGGATCAAATTTGATATAATTAACAAGATAAATATGGCCTAATCTTTCTTTTTACATTTCAACTAAAAAGAAAGATGATGTATTGTTTGAAATCCCTAGATTTCAACCATTGTAGTAGTCATAAAAATAAAAATGCTGGTTTTTTTCTCTTTTTAAAACTTATTTTGATTTAAAATATCGAGAAAACACTTTAAAAACCTTATTAAACTAATTTATAACTCCTAAAACACACATACAAAAAAAAAACCACCTTAAAACCTAAAAACAACTTAAAATCAAATTTTTTTTCAAGCTAAATATATTTTTAAAATAAAAAAATCTAATTTAAACTCTTCTCATGGAACCATTTCATATTTAAATCAACTATTCTAATAGTCGGAATTATCATAATAATAACCTTTTTTTCTTTGGATAATAATTTGATGAACTTCTCTCTCTTATTTCATAGAAAAAAACTGAAAAATAATGAAAATAAAATTTAACACTGAAATTAATATTTTTAAAATTAAAAGAACTAATTATTTAATAACTTAAAAAATAAAATAAGGGATGAAAATGTATTTTCTAATCAAATTTAAAAATCACTGTCAAATTTACTTGTGTTTTTTTATTTTAGTTACATGTAATTTAATTCAATTTTTTTCTTAAAAACATGCAATTTGGTGTTAATTTAAATTTAAAAAAGTTTAATTGTGGAAAGAAAATTCACTGCTCTAATTTACTGTAATTTATGAGAGAATAAACAGTAATAATAGCCAAAAATGTTTTCCCTAACATGAATTGTTTTATGTTAATAAATTAACTCTATTCTATTTTAAATGCAGCACAAAAGGAAAATCGACTTTGGCGATGCAATTCGTCGGTAGGAAAGCTTAAAAAACGAAAAAGGAAAGCACAAAACTCAATCCAAACTACGTGGCAAGTTTTAACTGGCCACTTGACCTAATCGGTGAAAAACAGACCACAAAACCGAAAAAAACGAATAAACCCTTTTCCCTCGAGCTTTTGACTGCTGGAAACAGTTAAAGAGGAATGAATTGATCATCTCTACCTTTAAAACAACAGCGTTCTACACCAGTTCACCGGCTCTTTCCAATTGTAAGTATTTCATTTTGTTTCTGATAATTTTGAATTCTTTTTTCTGCGTTTTTTTCTTCTTGTTGTTGCCGTTGCTGTTTAGATATACCTAAACAATTAAAAAAGGCGTCAAATTCAGCTAAATTAGTTCATTTATCGCTTCTTTTATATCTATAAACGATTGAAGAACTGTAGCTGATCATTGTTGTACGACTTGCCAGGAAATCTATCTTGCTTGAGCTATTTTTTTTAAAAAAAATTAAATTTAGCGTGAAATGGATAATGACAATGATTTCACCTTTTGCCAGGTATTTACATTTGCACTGATTTCCTTATTTTTTTAATTAATTATTTAATTACAGCTACCCTTTGTTTTTCATGAAATAATTTCGACTACCCGGAGTCCTTGTAATTTATGTTCATGAAACTAGGTGGGATTGCCTGTTGATAAAAATGGACTCGAGGCGGAGAATCTTGCATCGGATATTGGGGGCATAATTATTAAAGATGGATTTTCCAACGGCACTAATAGTAGTCAGGGTGGTGGTGTTGTGTGGAGAGATAGCTTGCCTGATGCTGATTCCAAGAACGAGAGAACCGTTGGTTCTCTGTCTTTCAATGTTATTGATGCATCAGCTCGGGGAGAGTCAAGTGGAGTTCCTAGACAAGTGGCATCTGGAAATGCTGGAACTTCAGCTAAGAATTTTGATGAAAAGAAAGTTTCTGCTAGGAAGCCTGTGGCTCGGAGTAAGGTTCCATTTGAGAAAGGTTATAGCCAAATGGATTGGCTTAAACTCACTCGAACTCATCCTGATCTTGCAGGTATAAAATTGGTAATTTGTTGTCAATGTGTTTCTTTAGTCTTTTTCTGTATCCTTCAGGTTCTAATGTGGAATTCTTACCGGTAACTTAACATATAGTCTGGTTTTTTTTTTTACTTGTCGCATCATTGCTATTTTCCATCTTTAAAGCCTTTGTATTGAGTTCTCCTTGAAGGATTTGTTAATATCCCTGTTGTAGCTCATCGTGTAAGCATCGATTGAGAAGCATGCTTGCACCGTGAGATTCTTCTCCTTGTATTATAAGCAAGTGTGGTCTTAACATGATTCCACACTAACTTTGCAAACATGTATCATGGCAAAATATGTTTTAGTTGATGCATATTAACTGAACTGGTATAGTTATTGGGGGATGTATCACAATCATGATCAAAATCCACTTTGAGTTTCAACACCTTCACATGAAAATATGGGCATTTGCTGTAAATGTATGTTGCGGATCTTTCTGTTTCAACAAGGTTTTATAACATTTCTCATCTGCATCTGTACTTGCATGGTTATATGTGCAAAACAATGATACTTGCACATCATATCTCAACATATTTTGAAGACATTTGATGGTCAAATTTACATCCATGAGCTGTTAGATTATAGAAAAATGTCATTATGGAAGACTCCTTATGTCTAGTTACATTAGTATATTGTTTGTGGGTTGAAGTGTGGGTGTCTATATAGTTTTTCTTTTCTTCTTTATTTTCCTCTTAGGAAGGAGTTGTCTACATAGCTAAGTTTTAACGAGTAGGCATTTGAAGATCATTCTTTTTGAAAGTTTTAATATATTTCCAAATCGTGCCCCTTACTTTTCCACCTTCCCTCTTGTTGTGTTTTAGTGACAACAAGATTTGCTATTGTGAAGTGCTTCGCTCTGTGAACTAATGAAAATAACATCTGATTGCTTTTTTAATTTCACCTACTTGACAACTGGAATGCTATTCAGCTTTCCCTTCATGATTTATAAATTGTGTTTCCAGGATTGACGGGACAGTCCAACAAGAGGCTTATTTCCATGGATGAAGTTAAACAACACCAAACAGAAGGATCCATGTGGACTGTTTTAAAAGGTCGTGTCTACAATTTGTCTCCATACCTCAAGTTTCATCCAGGAGGTGTGTGCATTTCTTATGTCCATACATAAAATATTTTGTGATTTTAGTTTCACGTACCTTAATTAAAATTGAATGACTTCATTACTGTTGCTTCTTACAATATCTCTAATATGTATGTGATTTACATGTGTTAGACTATCAGTTGTTTGAATTAGACATGTACAATCGCATGCACAAGCACATATCATGGACATGCGGATCACGATGATTAGTTAATCATGCCTGAAGCACCATAAGGTGCTCTTCCTTTATTGGTCTATCTATTATGCAGCACCAGCCTGTTTCAACTTTCAATTGCATAACGATCTGCATATAATCTGCAAAAGTTTGCCTCCCATGCCATAACTAAAATAGTAAAATACAGCTTAGTTATGGAGGCTTTTTTCATTTCAAGAGCCACTGCCATATGGTGTCTGAGCTGCTGTCCATTTGTTAGAGTTTCATATTCTCATTATTTGCTATGATTATTTAACAAACTCCCTGTTTTCAGGTGTTGATATACTGATGAAGGCAGTAGGAAAAGACTGTACATCTTTATTCAGTATCCTTTTATGGATTCTTTTTCTTGGTGATTTTTAGAGGTTGTGACCAGAGATGAATTTGTGCATTATTTTTCTTTGAAGCTATTATTTAAACTGGATGACCCAACATTGAGTTGTCTTCTATTTCACCATTGACGTCGCTAACCATGGCCAAGCTCAATCCTTAGAAAAGCCTACCAGTTTAGTTTAAGTCTATCTTGATTAAGAAGCTGTACTTCGTGATTTCGCTTTCAAGGGTAAAAAAGGGAACGGATTTCCAAAGCATGGCAAGATTTCTGTTTTTAAACTGTTAAGATTTACTGCACAAATTGCAATCCTCAACTCTTTATTTCAGACAAATACCATGCCTGGGTGAATGCTGAATTCTTGCTGGAGAAGTGCCTTGTGGGCACTTTGGATGTAGGTCAGTGAAGGCAGCTTTTCTAAGCCGTTTTGACGTGATGATCTAGTGAAGCAAAGTTAAATCTGTAATTTTCCTATTGAAACTTTGTAAGCTTATCATGGCAGTTATGTCCTAACATTTTTTGGATAGGGGCAATAACACTATCCCGGTTGGCTGACAGGGTTCCTTGTATTTGTTACGTACAAGATTGTCATCCGCAGCATAAATGTATTAACATTATTGATATGATAAATAATTATGTGCACACACTTCTCTGTGAAATTACTTTCAGTGCTGTTGGGATGGTGATATAGAACGCATTTTCCTCCTTTTCTCCTTCCTTTTCTCTTGTTTTTTTTTTTTTTTTTTAAAAAAGACGGTCCTGGATAACAGGCTTAATGATGAATACTGAATGTAACAAACGAACTGAGTGGTGGTGCTGTTTTTTTTGGGCTTTTTGGTCCCTTCTGTTTTCGAAAGAGACAGAGAGAGTCACACCTGACGATGAACCATGGAACCAAGTTTTTCTTCAAGCACAATAGCGGTCCATCCTGAAATTTGTATCTTTCGATTCATCAAAACACTTGTGCGTGTAATTGAACATGTTGAGGCCCGCCCCCAATATCGGTACATTATTTTGAACCTCAAGCCGACGGGTTTATCGCTAATCATGCCATTGATTGAAACACCATGGGGTGTTTAGGATTGCTCTAAGTTGTTTGAAATAAAGTTTTTTATATTTTTAAATTATTTAGATGTGATGATATTAAAAATAAAATTTAAAAAATAAAAAATACTATTTTAATATATTTCTAAATAAATAACTCTTTAAAAATCAAATCAAATGTAGGTTTGCTGTAATTAATAATTGGATTTGCCAGCACGCTCTAAAATCTGATTTGGAAGGAAAATGCCCTCGCCATTCACCCAAAAAAAAGAGAGAGTACAAAGCTTACTGGCAACCATATTGATGGACTGGTCACGTTGTCATAGGCCAAGTCTTCTTTGGAATTTTGAAGCTGTAATCATACCCGCTGGGTAAATAAAGTTCAGTTGTTGCCATTACATGTCCTAGAAATAAACCACATATAGTTTCTACTACCCTCTTATCCATTAGGCTCCTTCTGCCGACACCACGTGAAGACAACATCATACAATACAGTAAAAGACCACATGCCCTAGCTTAGATACAAAAGCGAAGCATGTGCCTCAACAGATGATGTGACTTGTCTGTAAAAAACCACAAAGGTGTAGCCTGCTGCTACAGAGATAACATCTAAGCAATAGGGAATACCCTAACTTCATCGAGTATAGGACCACAGAGGGATCCGAAGTCATCAATCCTAGTATGGTAGTATGAGCTGTAAAACGTAATTCTTGTCCGAGCTGTAACGGCTTTGAACTTGAAACTTACGGTCTTGAATTCACCCTTTCCCTTGGATTCGAATGGAACTTTGAAGGTATCCTTAGCAGCGAATGCCTCGACCATCATTGATCCATGGCAACCATTTCTTGCGTCCCCGATGGTGAATGTGAGACCGTAGACTTTGTCGGGAATTGTTCTGAGGATTTGGGCAATTGCACTCTCTCTCCCTGCAACAAGCTCGACAGCAGCGAGCCCGAAAGGAACGTTGAAGTGCTTTTTGTCAATGAACTTCACAGCTTTAAGTGATTCGATCATCCAGCCGGGAAGTGGAGATGTGAGATCTTCTTGTCTTGGAGGGAGGAGGACACCACTGGATGTGTTTACTAACCGATGAGGACCCTCCTCAAAGCCATGATTCTTTACAAGGTTATCTACAAGATAACATTTACAACCATCGATGAGACCAGGGAAGCTATAATCAGAGTCATACATAAGCAGATGCAGGCAAATTTTGAATATTTTACATGTTTTATTTATCAACTACACAGACATACTGGTCACCAATTGCAACCATTCACAAAGAGAATAGGGAGGTGTTTAGAACTTTAAATGGATCAACAGCACTGCTTCTCGAACCAAATGTATCCTGTGTTTGACAAAATTATCAAAGGGATAGTATCTCAGATCAAATGCTATCTTCAAAAACCAACCAGTTAACAGAGCAAGAAAAATCTCAGATCCACTAAACAATGTCTGTGGAAAGCTATCAATTGTAAATCATTGAAACTTGAAGATCCAAGACAATATCTACAAATGCAACAGCCTTGACATTCAACGCCACCGAAACAAGTGATTCAGTGAATGAACTAGCAAAACTAAATCAAATAAGAAATCTCAAAAATGAAACTAAAACAACCGGCCAGCAAATTCTCCATACCAAAAACAGGACATTATAATGCTAATTAGTTTCCATTACCTCTTGTGGGCATTGGTGGAAAGAGCTCCTTGATAGCAACTGCATCAATGAGTGGTCCACAGGCAGGGTCCTCTTGGACTCCAGTATTGCGAAATGTCACTTTAACAACAGTGGCATTGAGTTTAAATCCCCAAGCATAAGTGTCTCCGCCATTGCTACTATACAGTGTCTGCAAGGGCAGGTCCCCAAACACGGTCCCAACTGAGACTCTCAACACCTCATCTTGGGCACAAGTTCTTGATGCACCAAATGTGAGGGCATACAGAGAGCCTGCTTTTATTGTTATTGTTTGAGAAATCGAGGCCTCATTGCCTAGCCTTACTGCATGAACACCATGAGCCACATTAAAGTACATGCCACCAGGTTGTGGCCCGGCAGAGATGTACTCTACGAATCCATTGATTTCCCAGCTGGGAAGCGCATATTTTCCTTTAAGGACTGTTTTCTTGATCGCACCAGGTTTTGGTTTCTCTTCAAAGTTGCCATTTTTTAGAAAGCCTGAAGAAAGAGATCAGACCGAGTCAAAATGAGACTGTGGAACTAGTAATCAGCAAAGAAACGTGCTAGAGAATGTAGAGAACCAAATCTAAATCTCTCTTTCTTTGTTGGCCACTCTAAACCTAAAATTAATCTACCTTTCATTTTTGGAAATCTTTGAAAATGGAAATAAAACTGTAATGAGCAAGCAAAGATGACAGGGAGAAGTAAGATACTGCAACAAACATTAAATCCCTGAAAGAAGGTTGAATAAACATAAAACTGTGATTAGCAATTAAAGATGACAGGGAGAAGTAAGATACTGCAACGAACATTAAACCCCTGAAAGAAGGTTGAATAAGCATGAAGCATAAAGATTCGGCCTTGAAGTTTATCAGATTAAACCAGGCATTAACTGCCAAGAACCAAGCATACAATGTCAATTTTGCACTATAAGCACAGATTATACACGCAAAAAGAGAGAACAAAGCACAAAACTCCCCAACTCAAATGAGCACACCGTGACCATTATGTTAAATCTTCATTGTCTAAGCCCACTGAATGGGGTCAGAACATTAAACAGAGAAATTAGCACTTAGCTAGCATTACCTTCCATGTAAGTAGCAGCTAAAGCAGAGGTAGTGAAAAGCAAGAATGATGTAAGCAAAAGTGAGATCCCCACGGCCATTTTCACAGAAGAAATGGACACAAGCTAGGCTTTGTGTTCTGAAGGTGAGAGGTAAAGTGTTTTTGATATGGGAGAGGAAAAGGGATAGGAAATGCTTATATTTATAGCGTGAAGAGGACAAAGTTGAGGGAGCTGGGTGAACATGTGCAGTATGAGAAAAGGGTAGCAGAAGATATGGTATATTTTTTTTAGATTAACATGTATATCTGGGCCAGTTTATACGTAGCATGACTAATTTTATGAGTTCTAAAATTAATGATCATGTAAGCCTTCAATAACTATTATATAAGTAATCGAAAACTCAAACATGAAACTAAAAAAAACAAACTTCTTAGATACCAAATCTTTATCAATTCACCAACAGTATATATACATTTTGTCTCTGCCTCTGATCACTCGAAGCCGCACTTTTCTCCACGTTCCATGGCACCGGCGTTTATGTAATTTCAGCCATTACTCTTAATTTTCCGTTCGTGGGGTCCATTGGTTTAGCGTGTGACTTGTTTAAGGCTTTAAGCTAACCAAAATTCTCCACGAAGCAAGGAAGCATCTCTTGGTGCAAAAACTCGTTTGGCAATATGTCAAAGTTTTTAATTTTTTTTATTTGAAATTAATTTTGTTTAGTAATTTTAAATTATTTTATTGTATGTTAAAGATAAATTTTAAAAAATAAAAAAAAATTATTTTAATATATTTATAAATAAAAAATACTTTAAAAATTAATTACTATTAAAATATCAAACAGTACCTAAATCACATTTACTCTTTCTCGAAAAGTAAAAATAAATAAATAAGGTAAAAGGTGAATATAGCATACGAAATCAGATATAAATGCACCAATCTCAATATAATTCATTGCTGAAAACTATAAGCACAAATATATTATAGATATCAATTTTTTTACTAGTTATTTTATCACATGCTTCTGTGTGATTCTCTGTTATATATTTATTTAAGATAAGCAATCATTTGCTAGCATATTTTAATTTCATTAAGTTTCGTATTTTATATTTTTATTACTAGAAATGATGTTTGATTGAATTCAACTATCCATGAAAATATATTACATAGTTCGATTGTTTAACATCATTTGGTATGCCAAAAAATAATCCTAAATGTAAAATTTAACTACTAAAAATGTTTTTTTTTTTGTAAAAACCTTTAAACACTGAAAATCTTTGTTTATAATCACGACTAATTTTGTAATTAGTAATACTAGATGTTTTAAAGTTAAACATGATAAATAATCTTAAATTATACATAAACTAATTTTATTGTTCTTATCATTAGTATAAAAATTGCTGCAATAGCTACTGAGATGGTTCCCGCACTAAAGCAATCCAAGGATGAATTGATGAATTAGAGCAGAAATGCATAATTTAACCGATTGTCTTAGAAGAAGAAGGATATAATTATATTCTGAATTTAATTTTTAGAAATTACTAATTTGAGTATTATAAATTTTAAAATTATTATAAGTTTATATAATTATTAATTTTAAAATTTATAAAATTAATCAAAATACTCCTAAGCTAATTCAAACATGTAAGTTAAACTTAAAAAAAAACCAAAAAAGGAAGAGAAATACAATAGAGAAAGGCTCACGAGATTATCGTCATAATTCCTTCATTATGTAATAATTCCAATTTTTGTTACATTCAACCGCTATAAAGGAAGCTACAGTATTCTAGAACCAGTATTAAGACACGCGTAAAAACACATCAATTGTAATAAAATATGAATATATAACCAAGCACTTCTATCTCGGTGTTACAACGTTAATATTGTTTTGTTATACGTGGCCACGTTGTTTACTAAATTAGTATTGCGTTATATCCAGTGCTTAACAAATTAATATTCAAGGCAAGTGCAGTGGATACAAGAAACCATTATAGAATATTTTATTCATGGAGCTTTTCTTCAAACTTCTCACAGTATGCTTTATTTTAAACTTGTTTATTTTTATATATCAAAAGTATTTTAAAAAAATTAATAATTTTTAGTGTTTTAAAATTGTTTTAATGTATTGCTATCAAAAATAATTTTAAAAAATAAAAAATAACTATTATTTTAATATATTTATTAAAACATTCTTTAAGAAACAGTCACAGCTCTTGCCAACTTAAAACTTCTTTAATGAAGGGTCGGGTTCATTTA